CCTCTCCTGTCCTCCGGTCTCCTCTCCTGTCCTCCGGTCACCTCTCCTGTCTTCCAGTCTCCTCTCCTGTCACTCTGCTGTCACACCCTGTCTCCCTCAACAGCTCATCCCCCGCACTGGGGTTGCAGGGGTCCTGGCCGGTTCTCCCCGCAGGGGCGCAGTGAGGGCAGTTTGTGAGGCAGGCCCACATGCCACTCGCAGACACCTGATTGCCCAGGACGCCTCCCGCTGGTGTGACTCCTGTCTCTTTGTGCCGTGACAAGAACATAAGAACGCTTGCAGACAAGTGGGGGCTGCTTTGCTTATCTGGCCCAGGAGGTAGTCAGTGGCTCATCCATCTGTTTCTTGAATGTAGCAGGAGTCGGGCTTCAGCAGCTTGACTCTCAAACAGCCCTTCAAGAAGACCAAGGACAATACCCTTCACCGTGGGCTCCACCAAGATAAGACCTTGATTTCCATGGAGCTACTTCCTGCCCCATTCCTCACATATTCCCATAGTTCTCAAGACCTACCTCAGCGTGTATTTTTGTTCAGTCAACCAGGAGCGCACCAGTGTTCGTTTCTTTTGTCTGCAAAAGTGCTCCGGTCTTGTGAACTTGTGATTTTTAGTACCTTCCCCTTTAAAAAGCGATTTTATCTAGAATGGAAAAAACACAACAGTATATCCTGATCTGAGGGATTCTGGGGGATTTCTAGCTCTTTGGGAGCTGTGTTCGTAAGTGATGTGAAGTACCTAAAATGTACGAGGCGCTCTGTGGGAATATTTTGGGCAGTTTTTGTTGCCAGCGTGGTGCAGCACCAGCGTCAACACTGCGCTCCCCGGCGCTGGTTCTTCTGTTTCTCCTCGCACCTGAAAGCAGGTGTTACTGAGCCTCCTGTCACTTTAATTAACGCTATTATTCTCGTCTAATGAACGGGATCGCCCTAGTGTTGTGCCTTCGAGACTGATTTATGATCCGGCCATCAGCAGCAGACAAGCCTCCGACCGGTCTGTTCCGGCCGCAGGTGAAGGAAAGGACCTGCGCCGAAAAGCCATGCAGTCAAACCTGCGCACAGCCTGCCGCAGCCGGCAATATCAGAAGAGGGCTTTGGCTCGTCGGGTGCTGCTTGCGAATGGCAGCCTTGCTGCAGCCTTGAGAGTGCTGATCATGTTATTTTTTTGTGCAAACATCTACAGCCAAGATACTGGCATTGTATTAGAGATGAGTAAAACTTCAGACACCCCTCTTCACTTATCCTACACCACATACGAAGAACTGCACACACGAGGAGGCCATTCTTCCCGTTGGGCTCTTTCGGTACTTTAGTAACCAAGTTTAATCTCATTTTTCAGAACTCTCCTTTACAAGTGCCTCAGAGCAGTGGTTTTACAGGACGCGTCTCAGGTCTGGCAGGGGTCTCAGGCTCAGCTCTAGAGAGGCGCTGGTGGTTTCTGTTTTGTTTTTTTGCTACCTGGGTAGTCAGTTAGACAATCAGTCTTATTGTTTTCTTTGACATCTGTAGGATTTTTCCTTACAGTTGGTTAACTCAGGACATTCACTTCCTTGAAGCTACAGTTACCAATAAAAAAAGCCTTCCGGTCTGGCTGGGCGTGCGCTGTTACAGCTATGCAGTTGAATAATTAGGCTCGCTATGTAACAGGGAGGTCGTGGGTCAAACACCGGGAGACACGTGACGAGGTCCTCAAGGAGGGGGGGTTCGAGACCCCCGTCCAAAGACGAAGACAGCTGCCTGGGTCTGTTTTTAAGACGGCCTTCTCTTACGTTTGTGGGGTCCCTCGCGGAATCTGTTGGAAGAGACCAGCGAGACCCCCGCCCCCCCCAGTCAGGGCGCGAGTCAGGAGTGAGAAGAGACAGCCTCACCTCTCCTCTCCTCTTGCAGTGGCAGGCCTGGCCGCACAGCAGGCTCTCAAAGTGGCGATGGGGGGCGATGGGGGGCGATGGGTGGGGGGGGGACCAGCACTCAGCCCCATAATTGCCAAGTCTCCCTCTCTCCGGAGTTGAAAGGTGTCTGCTGTGCAATTAGGGGAATACGGTGCAAGGAGATCTGACAGTGGAGCCACCTGGAGCTCTGACAGCCAAGGAGCATTCCTGCCACTGTTAACCCCCTGTGTGCCGCTGTGTAGCTCCTCGGCAGAGAGCAGCATGGCACTCACTAGCTCTGACAGGGAGCCTGCTCTCCCCTTCCACACAAAGTGTAAAGCCTAAAGCCAGACCGCCATGGTCTCAGAAACACGCAGCGCTCATTTGGGAATGAGATTCGTCTCTTTTTTTTTTTTACATTTGGCCCGTGTATGCTAGCACAATCTTAGCATAAACCGTTGCTGTTTTTGATCTTGGCAACGATGGCAGTCAAATAATGAGGATGCACTTTGCGGAGGGAGTCAGACCTGGCACCAGCCAGCTTTGTCTCCTTTACTGGGAGCACAGCATAATAAAGAGAACGGATTCCGCTGGCACAACCCTGTTCGTGGCCGAAGACGGAAAGCCGGCCCGTGCAGGCGCGTTGGGCCAGCCGTGGTGCGCTGCGCCGCTCCGGCAGCGCTGAGCTCGTGTCGGGGGCTCGGGGGCCTGCCCTGCCGCTGTGAGCAGGAACAGCAGTCGAAATGTGCAGCCAGGTGCTGTGGCTGCCTCCTGCAGAGCCCCCCAGGAGTGTGCCGCAGGCAGGTGTTTGAGCTGCGCCGAGCTGCCGGGACGCCCAGAGGGACAGACGGGAGTTGTGTGCGTCAGTGTGCGGGGGGGGGGAGGCGGCGCTAGCTCTGGCCGCGGGGCGCTGCACTCCACCCGGATAGCCAGGGTTCGAGGGTCTGTGTACTGGACGGTGCGAAGAGGGACAACCACATGAGGAATCCGTGAGAGGGCCTGTGGCTCTGACAGAGACGGAGCAGACGGTGCAAGCTGATTGCCTGTTTGCTTCAATCTTGGGGGAGACCCTGCCCGAATTAGAATCCTAGGGAGTCAAATTAATCAGCATGCATGCACAATTGGAGCCAAACCTACACATCCACAGTAAGCAGTCAGGTGTGGGGTGGGAAAGGCATGACTTCACTTTACATCGTGACACTTACTGTTAAGAGAAGACACTTAAACTAAACTGCAGTCCCAGGTGATCGCATCACTGGGCACACAGCGAGGCCCTGTCCTCTTCCTGGCACTTACTGTACAACACACAGTCTTCTTGCTGTGTTTTCTGCGTTTCATTTTCAATGAATGAGCCTTCCACATGGGAAGCTCAGTGTCTGAGAAATGTATTTTGGAGACATTGTCCATCGAGCTTACTAACAAAGAACACCCTCCCCAGTGGGGAGGTAAATGCACAAATGTCACAATGCAACAACAATAGCATCTTTCAGTTTGCAGGGCGTCTGAAATCGAGAGCTGTTGTAATGGCTGTTGATGGCGGTTTTGGTGTGATAATGATGTAGCACTTCCTGTCGCTGAGGCTGCCTGATTCCACTGCGGCCGGTCCTACCCATACTCACCCAGGAACCCTCCCCACTCACACCCATCAGGGGATTCCTACACAGACGTCTGCCACAAGACCTGGGGCTTTCAGGTCGTTGTCTCTGTCTTTGAGCAGCTTCCTCTTTCTAACGCGCGGTTTGAAACTGAGTGACAGAGGCGGGCCTGCTTCTAGGGTTAGTGTTGCTTTTTCGCATTGCAGTCCTTGGTGACAAGCCCTGCAGTTTAGCTCCTGGGCGGCAGAGTTTTGACAAGTTTTCGTCTGAGGCGTGGACCCTGTCCTGCAGCGGGGAGCCGGGCCGTCCAGTCGCGGCGCAGGGACAGGGCACGTTCCAATCTCCAGCAGTCCTCTCGTTGCCACATGGTTACAGGTAAATACTAAGGGGGCCCCCGGTCCTGCACTGCTGCAGCAGTTTCTCCTCTGAGCTTTCTGCGCAGCACCTGCCAGCCAGTACAGTAAAACCACAAACCGCTGGAGGTGGGAGAGCTCCCATCTCGGACATCTTGGCGGCTGTTCATGTGTAGCACAGAAAAGTGTGTGAGCCGGTCTAACTGTCTTGTCCCTCTCTCTCTCTCTCCCCGGATCCAGGCAGCGGATTGATGGGCAACTCCTCTGCATCCTTCATGGGGACCTTCCTGGCTAGCAGTCTGGGGTCGCCCCCCTCGCACCCGCCCCACCCCTCGGGACCGCCCTCCTCCCCCTCCGAGCCCTCCTTCCGAGGGGGTCCCCACTCCAGCGCCTCTCAGATCTGGTTCCCCCATTCGCATGAAGGTAAGCTCAGCGCCCCCCGCGGGGGGGTGGGCCTTCTCATCTCCTGCCCGGTGTGGGGTGGGTTGTGCATGTTTAACCAGTGTTTTAGTGGCGGTGCCGCCCGCTCTGTCTGTCACCTGTTCTGTATTAAGGGACAGGGTGGAGCTCTTCAGACAGCGTTGTGGAAGAGATGTTTCTTTTCAAAACAAAAACCCTGCTGTTTCAGAGGTTGCAGGCGGGGCTCTTGAGTTCAGGCCCGGATTTAACACCGCGCAGCTCTGCAAGAGTGAGCCGGCGCAGGAGCAAACTGGAACAACAAGGGGTTTGGATTTCTGGTTTTTATAGCAGTCTTGCCAAGGGGAAGCTTTTATCTTCAGAAAGCGGTGGCTTTCAAGTTGAGCCGTGGTTGCTTGTTTCACTGTAGTGGGGCGCACAGTCTCCCCCTCCCGCCGTCCTTTTTTTTTTGACGAGAAGAAAGCCCTTTGCGCTAAGGCGGACTAAGCAATTGTGAACCAGACTTGACTCATCTGGGCTGCGGCTGATTTGAAGACCGAACTGCTCTCGGCGCAACTGGTGCAGCCTGGTCATCTGTTCCAAGTGTGGAGCGCTGTGTAAGCAGACGGAGGATTGAGGAAATCTGGTTTTATTTGGGGGCAATGTCGCCTAAAGGCGTCTAGTCTGTCAGCACCGCCGCCGTTGGCTTAAGCTTTTGCAGAGTCTTCAGTAAATACAGGCTCTTGCATAACATCTGATTCCTGATGTTTCCCTTAAGCGCTCCTAAAGTCTGTTTAATTAGTTTGTCTTAAGGTAATCCCAAATTGAGATTTCATATTCATGAAACGCGATGCTTTTTTTCCCCCTCTCTGTCATAGGGTTTTTTTTTTTTCTTTTTCTTTGGCGTCTCTGTTTTCCGGCTTTATTCCGGTCCATCGGCGTCGCAGTGGGCCTTGCTGGGCGTGGAGGGGGTGGAGGTCCGCAGTGCCTCTCCAGGCGCGCGAGATCTGTCCCGCCAGCGTTGCGTTCCGGACCCCGGCCTTTTGCGTTTCACCTCCTCTCTCGTTTTTTTTTTTTCCGTCCGCTGGCGCTCGCTCTGTCCCCGTGCACCCCTGTCCCAGCTGGCGCCCCCGTTTCTCCAGGGCCTGGCGTCGGGGGGGGGGGGCCCGGGGCCCCCCAGTGTCCGCTGAAGCCCGGTGAGGAGATGGTGCTCGTGTGGGCAGCGGTCAGGGCCGCGGCCTCCCCTGCTCGGCGCTGAAGTGTGACTGTGCTGCGGCACAGTGGGAGTTAAGTAGCCTCTGTCCTCCTAGTTGTTGGCAGCTGCCAGAGAAAACAGTAATTGTTGTTGGCAGGCCGCACAGTGGGGCTTTGCTGTTGGCACCCAGCTCTACTGTAACTCAATGACTGAACAAATCTGCTGTGAGAGAGGGAGGGAGGGAGGGAGCTCAACAGAATAATAATAGAGAGCAGAGCCGGGAGAGGGAGAGAGATGTGGTAGAACTGAGCGCGGAAGAAGTGGCAGGGATTATTTAGAGGATGCAGCAAGTGTGAGCGCAGTTGTAGTGGAGAGAGAGAGAGACAGGAGAGGAGTTGGACGAGGCGAGGGAAACTGCCGCCGATCACAGCTTAAGGATCCGCCTGCCTAGAAGACCCGCGAGCCGGTTCTGGATTGGTGTCGGCTCGTCCCGCGGCTCCTCTACGAGCTTGCGTTTTCGCCTTTCCTTCCTGGGTATCGGAGGCGGTTTTTGGGAAGGGCTTTGTTTCCTTCCTCTTGCTCTGAACATGTGCCGTGATTTTCCTAGCGGGGCCGGTTTTAGGAAAAACGCAGGCACGTGGCGCGCCTGTTTTAACTGCGTCGTAAACACGTCCTTAAAATAACAGTAATAACAATAATAATAACGGCCGTGATAAAGATGCTGATAATGGCGGTGATGATTATTGTGAGAGCAGTGAAAATAATTATCTTTATTATGGCTTAATTGCATATAGCCTTCTAAATGCATGATTGAATCAGGCCCGTTTTCTGATGACATGCAGCAATTCGTCCTTAAGGATAATTGCATATTGTTTTCTGTTTTGCATAAAAAGCATGTTATGAGAATGGGCAATGCAATTACCCAAATCACCCACTTCAGGCTACAGCAGTGTCCCACTGGTAGCGTTGGGCTTTTCCTGACCTACATTCCAGCTGTGACACAGAAGGGAGCTGAAGGCCGGGGAGAGGAGCTAAGACAGAGGCCCCTGGGCCAGAGAGCCTGTGGGCAGTGGTCTTGGGGAGAACAGGGATGGGGTGGTGGGGTTCTCTGGAGGAGTGATCCTGATTTTAATTGTAGGCGATGCTCCAGTCATTGCCCACACGCCCCTCTCCCCTCCTGCCCTCCCCATCTCCCTTTCTCGCTCTCTGCTGGGATTTTTTGGAATTCGTCCTTTTCCTTCCCCAAATGCTGGGATCCACTCTTGAGAAACGGACGGGCCTGATCGCAGGAGAGCCCTTTTCCTCTCCCCGGCCAGACGGCAGCTCGCTGCGTCTCAGAATAACCCTTTATGTGCCAGCTCGCGGCAGGGAGAGTGCTGTTAACAGAGTCCCGCCATCTGGAATTCTGTATTTATTGGCTTCCTTTATGAAACCAGATTTTTGCTTTTTTTTTTTTGCAAAACCGTTGTAAATCCCACTGCTTATAGCTGGCCTTTTATTGTAAGTGCTTACCATCGTCGGGTGGTTCGTTTTGCTGAGCAAAATAAAGTAGAACTAACCATTTCCAGCACACTTCTCCTTCCCCAAAAGATGTGTTGTGAAAACAAGCAGGCGTACAGCAGAAAGGATAGGCTGCTAGCTCGTGGCTCGTAGGGCCGGCCCTTGTCTGTCTTCTGGGAGAGGTGCAGCATTGATTTTCCTGGTCATGGTGCCGCTTAATAGGTTTTCCCGTACGAGACGTTTGACACCTGAAGAAGGCTCCACAGCCGAAACGTTGTGTCTCTTTTCTCTTCCTTTCAGCGTGGAATAAACGCTTTTCCTTTGCAAGGCCTGCCATACTCCCTGAACCAGTAGAGTGGATCATCAGAGAGCTGCCCCTCGCCACCAGCTCTATAGACGCGGCTGGCCATGGAAGGCAATGTGTCCAAGCCACTGGCTGCCAAACCTAGCCGTAGCCCTGCTGCCAATAGGTTGTGGGTACCGGCTCCGCGCCGCCCCCTGCTGGCAGCCGTTGGCAGCCGTGGCCTGCGCCGTTGGGGTCTCAGGTGGTTTTGAGTCGGCGCTTCCAGGTAAAGACGCGCTAGCTTTGCCCCCGCCGCAGGTGTCCCCCCCCACGTGACCCACGCTGGGTAAACCGCCCGCCAACGGCTCGCTTCCTGCCCAGCCAACTGACAGCGCCGCTGGGGCGGAGACGGCGCCCCAGCCCCTGCTGTCCCCCAGACATCTGCGGAGCCACGCGCCGCCCCCAAAACCACCGCGCTCTTGTGGCGGAGAGGCGCTTCCAGATCTGGAGAATGAATCTGTTAGCAGTCACACCACACCGCCCCATCGCAGCGATTGTTTTTTGGGGGGAGTTTTGGTCACCCTTTTTTTTGTTGTCAAAACACACGCTTCTCGTTTGAAAGATAAAGCCTCAAGTGTTATCTGACAACTTGATGACCTCGCAACCTCAAATAGAAATGTTGTAACCGCGCTTTCTGTCTCTAGAAATGACTTTGCTGGCACGCAGGGTTGAGTCACGTCAGGGCGAGCTGTCAGCCGTTAGTGGTCAGAGGCTCTGGCCTAGTCTGAAGGGGTTATCTTGTCTCGTCACATTTGTCTTGTTCTGTTTTATCTGTCTGTCGGTTTTTTGATGCAAGTTTTACGGTGGTTTCTACTGTCTGATGAGAGGTTTTCGTCCCCACTCTTGGATCGGACTTGGATTTTGGACACTCAATGATACAGCTGGGCCCGTTTCGTGTTTAATTTCTGATGATTACCGTCATTTTCCACCATGTGGTGAAGATTCCTATACAACCTGAAAGCACTGGGACTCCTTGTGACCGAGGCTGAAAGCAGCAGTCTGGAAAGTTAGAGATAGGATCACTCTAGTACTCTAGTGTTGTGTGCTCTGTGATGTACAGACTGTTCATGGCACAGGAAAAATACAGTGTTTGGAATATTGCTTATATTCAAATAAGCAAATCCCGTGGCAAAAAAAAACTGCATTAATATTATTAATATGTAACCTTTAAGTTATGCACACACAGGTGTTTATTTAAACCTCAACGATAACCCTTCCTATAAAAATACAGAATTCTTTACCACCATTAAAGATTATCATAACTCCCAGGGGGTGAACCGAGCTGGGGCACAGATCTTTCCTGGGTACTGTGGTAAACAGTCATGATCCCAGTCCTTTTTGTCATCAGACATGTCAGCAGGCATGAAGAGATAAATACATGAAATACTGTTTTGTTTTTGTCCAAATTTTTCTCCTGTGACCTGATCTTACCATTCTATTCCTATTTTCTAAAATGGGACTTTCATTGTTTCTGTGACAGTCTTGGAAAGCTGAGAACGTGGCTCTTTCTGCCTATGTCTGCAGCCTGCTTCGTTCTTTGTCTCTTTCTGTCTCCTTCTGCCCCGTGTGTAAGAGATTCAGATACCCATGTCACCAGTGAATAGGACACCTGTTTCCTGTTCTATATAACGATGATCTGAGTATAGCTACTCATAGAGAGGCTTTGTGAAAGAAAGAACATACACAGTTCTGGCTTCTGCAGTGAGCGTCGTTTCCACTAGCTCATGCAAGGATACTCTCGGAGAAGGATATGCACGCCGCAGTTACAATAACGGAGGTGAACATACACACAAATCCCACGCTTGCAGGTGTCCCCTTTTCATTCGGATCCTTGGAGATCTGTACACACACCATTCCAGGACCTGCTGGAGCTCATCAGACTTAGTCTCTGTCGGCGCAGTCTTGTTACTTACGTCTCGGATTTAACGATCCAGTTCTGCTCTTGATTTTAACAGCTTGTGCACTGAAATGGAAAACTAAAGGCTGTCC